CATCTTCTTCTGTGGTATGGAAGGGTGTGGGGAGCTTGCGGTGTACATATGCTGGTTGAAGTTGGCCCTGTACGCTGAGGGGAGCTACCCAGGAGACACTCAACGTGAGAGCCGCAGGACAGCTCAGTTGACCAGAGCATGCTCACTAAGGTATGGGTGCGAAGAGAAAACCGACAGATGTCCTTGTGTTCCCTGACCGGATGTCTCCATGATGACGGAGAGCTCCTCCAGGGCCCCATTGCTGCTCGAGGTGTAGGCGCTGAGGTGTAAGGCACTGGGTCATAGAGGTGTGAGATGGCTGAGGTGTAAGGCACTGGGTCATGGAGGTCTGCCATGGCTGAGGTGGAGGCGCTGGGTCATGGAGGTGTGAGATGGCTGAGGTGTAAGGCACTGGGTCATAGAGGTCTGCCATGGCTGAGGTGGAGGCACTGGGTCATGGAGGTGTGAGATGGCTGAGGTGTAAGGCACTGGGTCATGGAGGTGTGAGATGGCTGAGGTGTAAGGCGCTGGGTCATGGAGGTGTGAGATGGCTGAGGTGGAGGCACTGGGTCATAGAGGTGTGAGATGGCTGAGGTGGAGGCACTGGGTCATAGAGGTGTGAGATGGCTGAGGTGGAGGCGCTGGGTCATGGAGGTGTGAGATGGCTGAGGTGGAGGCACTGGGTCATAGAGGTGTGAGATGGCTGAGGTGGAGGCGCTGGGTCATAGAGGTGTGAGATGGCTGAGGTGGAGGCACTGGGTCATAGAGGTGTGAGATGGCTGAGGTGGAGGCGCTGGGTCATGGATGTGTGAGATGGCTGAGGTGGAGGCAATTTATAACATTTTTGACATGCGCTTTTCTGGATTTCTTTGTTGTTATTCTGTCTCTCACTGTTCAAATAAACCTACCATTAAAATTATAGACTGATCATTTCTTTGTCAGTGGGCAAACGTACAAAATCAGCAGGGGATCAAATACTTTTTTCCCTCACTGTACCTCGATTTGGCTCACGCGGCGACCAAGTTACCACCTCATCGGGCGGGGGATTGCGCAATAAACCTCCGGGTAGACGCTGGGCCTCCCAGGAGTCATGTGTATCCCCTGTCACAGGCTGAAACGGAGGCGATGGAGACATACATCACCGAGTCCCTGCACCAGGGGTTCATACGTCCCTCCACTTCGCCCGCCTCCTCAAGTTTCTTTTTTGTGAAGAAGAAAGACGGCGGTCTGCGCCTGTGCATTGATTATCGATCACTGAACAAGGAGACTATACGATTTAGTTATCCTCTCCCCCTCATTCCTTCAGTGATCGAGTCAGTGCATGGGGCCCACTTCTTCACTAAATTAGATCTCCGGAGTGCGTACAACCTGGTGCGTGTCCGAGAGGAGGATGAGTGGAAGACAGCATTCAGCACAACCACGGGGCATTATGAATACCAGTCTTCCAGTCCTTTGTGAACAAGGTGTTTCGGGACATGTTGGTCGCGGTGTGGTGGTCTGCATCGATGACATTCTGGTGTATTCCGCTACGCGCGCCGATCATGTGTCCCTGGTTCGCAAAGTGCTGGCCCGACTGTTGGAAAATGACATTTATGCTAAGGCAGAAAATTGTCTGTTTTTCCAACAGTCCGTCTCCTTCCTCGGATACCGCATTACCACCTCAGGTGTGGAGATGGAGGGGGATCGCATTTCAGCCGTGCGTAATTGGCCGACTCCAACCACAGTAAAGGAGGTGCAGCGCTTTATTGGCTTCGCCAACTACTATCGGAGGTTTATCCGGGGCTTTGGAAAGGTCGCAGCTCCCATCACATCTCTGTTGAAGGGTGGGCCATCCCGGCTCCGCTGGTCTGCCAGGGCCTTCAGTAACCTGAGGGTTCTGTTCACCTCCGCCCTGGTACTGGCCCATCCTGATCCATCACTACCGTTCGTAGTGGAGGTGGATGCGTCCGAGGTAGGGATAGGCGCTGTCCTATCTCAACACTCGGGCACTTCACCCAAGCTCCGCCCCTGTGCCTTCTTCTCCAAGAAGCTCAGCCTGGCGGAGCAGAACTACGGCGTTGGTGATCGGGAGCTGTTGGCTGTTGTCTGAGCCCTGACCGTGTGGAGGCACTGGCTCGAAGGGGTGAAACACCCTTTCCTCATCTGGACGGACCACAGTAACCTGGAGTACATCCGGGCAGCAAGGAGGCTGAACCCTCGCCAGGTGGCCCCTTTTCTTCACCTGGTTTGATTTCACTCTATCATACATCCCGGGTTCGAAGAACGTGAAGGCAGATGCACTGTCACGGCTGTACGATACAGAGGAGAGGCCCAGAGACAACACCCCCATACTCCCGGCCTCCTGCATTGTGGCGCCGGTAGTATGGGCGATGGACGCGGATATAGAGCAGGCATTACGCACAGATCCATCTCCACCTCAGTGTCCAGCTGGGCTGCGGTACGTGCCTGCTCTTATCCATGACCGTCTGATCTACTGGGCACACACATCCCCCTCCTCTGGTCACCCAGGTATCGGTCGTACAGTGCGCTGCCTGACCGAGAAGTACTGGTGGCCTACCTTGGCTAAGGACGTGAGGGTGTATGTCTCCTCCTGCTCGGTGTGCGCCCAGAGTAAGACAACCTTCCAGAAGGACAACCATCTCTGCAGCACTCCACCAATCAGGCCTTTATGGTAGAGTGGCCAGACGGAAGCCATTCCTCAGTAAAAGGCACATGACAGCCCGCTTGGAGTTTGCCAAAAGGCACCTAAAGGACTCTGACCATGAGAAACAAGATTATCTGGTCTGATGAAACCAAGATTGAACTCTTTGGCCTGAATGCCAAGCGTCACGTCTGGAGGAAACCGGGCACCATCCCTATGGTGAAGCATGTTGATGGCTGCTGTCGGGATGTTTTTCAGCAGCAGGGACTGGGAGACTAGGCAGGATTGAGGGAAAGATTAGTTATTTTATGAAAACCTGCTCCAGAGCACTCAGGACATCAGAATGGGGCGAAGGTTCACCTTCCAACAGGACAACGACCCGAAGCACACAGCCAAGACAAGTTTCTGAATGTCCTTGAGTGGCTCAGCCAGAGCCCGACTTGAACCTGATCAAACATCTCTGGAGAGACCTGAAATTAATCAAATGGCCACCCAGACTATTTACATTGACCCCCCCTTTGTTTTTACACTGCTGCTACCCGCTGTTTATTATCTATGCCTATTTAGTAAATATTTTCTTAACTCTTTCTTGAACTGCATTATTGGTTAAGGGCTTGTAAGTATTTCACGGTAAGGTCTACACCTGTTGTTTTCGGCGCATGTGACAAATAAAGTTTGATTTGAATTGTAGGGGAAAGTAGAATGAAACAGCTACGTCTCAAATGGCACCCTATTCCCTATGTAGTACACTACTTTAGACCAGAGAATGGCCCCCTATTCCCTATGTAGTACACTACTTTAGACCAGAGAATGGCACCCTATTCCCTATATAGTGCACTACTTTAGACCAGAGAATGGCACCATATCCCCTATATAGTGCACTACTTTAGACCAGAGAATGGCACCCTATTCCCTATATAGTGCACTACTTTAGACCAGAGAATGGCCCCCTATTCCCTATGTAGTACACTACTTTAGACTGTAACAGCGCACTATGTAGGAAAGAGTGAGCCATTTTAGACACAGGCAAATATAACAAAACAATATAATGAGGGTTTTATTCTCCATTGTTAAACAAAAGAGGATATTTTACAGTTGGCTTCTTGCATACTAATATGATGTAAGCACTGGACTCTGACTCTGACGGGACTTGATTTAGGAAAATCACAATGTTGTATTTAGTTTCACTGGTGAATCTCTAGACTGGTGAATCAAGACTGGTGAATTCCTATTGGGCCAAGTCCTATATAAACACACCCATTATGTCCACCTCTCATGTTTAATGTTCTGCCTCGTAGACGCTAATGGAGGGATTTGACTGAGAGGTTTGTGTGATGATTGTGTTAATGGACGTGGCTGGAGGTGTGTGTGTGTGTGTGTGTGTGTGTGTGTGTGTGTGTGTGTGTGTGTGTGCGTGTGTGTGTATGTGTGAATTTATCAAATGGTTCAACCCAAGCAGAAAGGTAATGACCAATCAGTCTTTTCCTGTTGACTAAACAAGACAGTTTGTTTCCTAAAGTTCAACTGAGCCCTCTAACAGAGAGAGCTGATTCCTCCCCTAGGAGACAGAGGGAGCCCCCCTTAGGAGACAGAGGGAGCCCTAACGAAGAGAGCTGATTCCCCCCTAGGAGACAGAGGGAGCCCTCTAACAGAGAGAGCTGATTCCCCCCCTAGGAGACAGAGGGAGCCCCCCTTAGGAGACAGAGGGAGCCCTAACGAAGAGAGCTGATTCCCCCCTAGGAGACAGAGGGAGCCCTAACGAAGAGAGCTGATTCCCCCCTAGGAGACAGAGGGAGCCCTAACGAAGAGAGCTGATTCCCCCCTAGGAGCTGATTCCCCCCTAGGAGACAGAGGGAGCCCTAACAGAGAGAGCTGATTCCCCCCTAGAGACAGAGGGAGCCCTAAAGAGGAGCTGATTCCCCCCGAGGGAAGCTGATTCCCCCTAGGAGCGAGGGAGCCCTAACAAAGAGAGCTGATTCCCCCCTAGGAGACAGAGGGAGCCCTAACGAAGAGAGCTGATTCCCCCCTAGGAGACAGAGGGAGCCCTAACAAAGAGAGCTGATTCCCCCCTAGGAGACAGAGGGAGCCCTAACGAAGAGAGCTGATCCCCCCTAGGAGACAGAGAGAGCTGATTCCCCCCTAGGAGACAGAGGGAGCCCTAACAGAGAGAGCTGATTCCCCCCTAGGAGACAGAGAGAGCTGATTCCCCCTAGGAGACAGAGGGAGCCCTACAAGAGC